TAGGGTCCCTGCCAAGCTGCCTGCGGGGTTACTTTGGGGAGCTCCTGTTGAAACTCTGGGGATGTCTGCTTTTCTGTCCTTCAGAACCTGCCTTTGGAGACTTGGAGTATGTGTGTCTGCAAGCATAGAGCACTGCCTTGCTTCCAGTGTCTGGTTGGGGGGGAGGTTTCCTCCCCAGGTGAAGTATGTCTGTGAGTTTGGTGTAACTGGCTTGTTCCTGAGCCGTTCCATAGACTTTTGTAACTGCAGCTGTCTTTTCCAGAGAGATCACTGGGGAGACCTTTTTTTGGGATCCATAACCGGGACACCAGAAATGTAATCTGCCCTCAACTTGGAGAGATTGTGGAGGAGCAGGTGGCAGGGTGAGGTTCCCCCCAAAAGCACTTTCCTGTGGGCATCTTCTTGGGGGGTGGCATAACTCAGACCCCCTACGTCCAATCTGCACATAAGTTGGAGGGCATGTAGAGGAGCATCAGGAGGAGGTCCTCAGTGAGTTTGATGCCTCTAGCTTGCACAGGATCTGTTCTGTACAGTCCTGAACCTGTACCTGTCATTTCTGCCATTTCCCCAGAAAGCACTTTCCTAGGGGGACCTTCTTTGGGGGACTGTAACACGGACCCTGTAAATCCAATCCTCACCAATCTTGGATGGCAGATAGAGGAGATTCAGCCAGAGATTCCCTGCAAATTTGGTGTCTCTAGCACACTGGGGGGAGGATTCTACTGTGCCATGAACCTCATGAACCAAACTAGTTTGTTTGACATGAACTGGGCATGCCATGAACCATGAACAGTTTGTGCCCATCCCTAGACAGCAGAAAGCAACAATAATTTCAGTGGGGAGTCTGAGTAGGGGACTGTGCTTTAGAGATCTATGGAACTTAAATATATAGAGAACTATAAATAAACTAGTGCTATTTGGGAATAACTTACTGTGAGGTCTCCTGAAGTTGGATTTGAAGGCTCCTGGTTTTCCATCAAAGGCATAAGACTAAACCAATGATGGTTTTGTATTCCTGATAAAAAGCCATGGTTAATGACAGCTAAAAGTTCTAGGATGAAGGAATATTTAACTAAATGACTAATAAGTAGCTCCGAAATATATTTCTTCCTTCCACCAAAAGGGAGGATTTGGAATAAGAGAGGGTTTGTGTGTTAGTGTGCTTTTAGTGTTCTGGAATATTGTAATTCTGAGGCAGATACATGCAGAAATGCATGCAAGCGAAAGATTAGATTTGAATTAATTAAGTAAATGTAGGAAGTTCTGAGGAAGTTCAAATACCTCTTTTTTAGTGTCTGATGAACTGTCCCCTTCATAAGATATCACAGACTGTTTCTTAATTGTTACTGGTGATTCTAAATTGTCATGGCTTGGCTCTTCCTCTATATGAAGCCTTGCCAGTTGTTCTGTTACGTCAGGGGCACGTCTGTAGAAACCTGAATCTTTACATTTTGACTGGCCCCCTTGGATTATTGACAGCAGCTCTTCACAGATTTCCTCTTCCTGTTCATCCATCTCTGTCGGTGTTCTGAATAAAGGGTCTTCTTTGGAGGGAACAAGAGCAGTGCCTGCCATTTCATGCACTCCTGAAGTTGTGCCTGTGAGGCTTTTCCTCTCCTTGACAGTGGGGGACCCTCTCATCTCCCTGAAATCACTACATTTGCTTTCATTCAGGTTTATGCCATTAGTTACAGGCTTCTGTGTTCTGTCATGAGACCGGGTGGCTGGAGGCGGTGATTTACAGATTGATGAAGAAAATGTCAGAGGTGAAGTAGGAGATTCAGGCAAAAAGTGGGAGGCCTTTGGTGAGGAAATTGGAACAAAATGGCCATGTTTTACTTGAGGAGTGATACTATCAGTGAGCATCTGTGTATTCTGGGGGCCTGTTAATGCTAGAGAGTTCAGTTCCTCTAAATCAGAAAGAAAGCTATGAGGAAAAGGTGGAGGAGAAGGAGAAGGAGTACTTGAAGGTGAAAAGCCAAGAGTCAGTGAAAGCCATTCACTGGTGATAGCCTGAAGATTCCCTTTATTAGACTCTGGACAAGGAGAGGACTGGTACCTGAGAGGAGGGGGTGATGCTTTGGAATCCAACTTGAGAAATAAGGGAAAACATAGGAATTAAAACAATGGGGAAAACATACATTGAGCTAATGTATGACAGCTAAAATAAAATTATATGTCATATCCTATCCATAGGATATTATTTCATTGAGCACAGATTTCTGAAATCATTAGCACATGAATCAGAAGAGCAGAAAGTAGCATATATGAAAAATGAAACTGTATCAGCTTCTTGCCTAGAGCTTAAATGTCAAACATCGAGACATCTGAATCACTGAGTTCATGAGGTGAATTTGATCCATGGCGGGAATGTTCTTTACTGTCCTTTAGTAAGCCTATGACTAATAGCCCAGATGTGATTACCAGCACTTCCTAAGCCAAAGCTATTATTTTAGGAGTGGTGCTGAGCTGTCCAAATGAAAAAAAGGTAGTTTAGACTGACCTACCTTTAAATAATAATGAAAATTAACCCAACTGGGCAACCTCAGGTTGTGCAAATTTTAAATCATTCCCGTCTCCTGACCTAGGGACCTTACAGAAACATCTTGCATACAGTTGCATACTTCTATTAAGGCCCCTGCAACTAACCAATGCATTTTGAAAATTAAAATTCACAGCATGTTGACAAATAATTACATGTTATTTAAAGGTATACAACATTCAAATCCTTCTTAGTGTAAACTATAAGACAATCATTGTAAACACAGAGCTATACCACACAGCCATTTATTTTAAGTATCATTATTGGCCGAATAATATTGCAATATGAAATATTGATTGAAGTTTCCTTCTGGTAAATTAAACGTTCTTGCGCAAGAACAGCAGAGGTGGGATTCATACGTATATTGCATCGGTGGATATCCATTGCTTCAATAAATACTGAAAATGTAGTTTATGTTGTTATTAATTCTCAACAATAAACCATCATCTGAAAAGAAATCTATTTTTATAATGTCTGAAATCAACTTCAAGTTGAATAGTTCTGTAGCCCTGGAAATAAAAACTCTTGGAGATGTGTTTCCCTACCCTGGTTGTACTTTTTATGGCAGAATGCTCTACAACATTTTCATCTTAGAACATTGTTGCCTGTGCGACTGTAAAAAATATCCCCAAAGTACAACCAGTTAACACTTACAGTTTGTTTTCTGTAAACAAAAATGATCTCAGGGTAAAAACAGAACAAAAAAGCAAATAACTATGAATTTTGCCACTGAGGTAGCTATTCTGCCCCAAATATATTGGAAGTAAAATATCCTGGGAGTTAATTAAGAACATTCTTATCTGGGGAACCACTTTAAGTGGTTTGGAGAGCTATAGTCCTTTATGATGACCTAAAAACCCTTCCAGACAACCTGGAGAATGTTTACCTGACCTCAGAGAGATCTATTTGTGGGGACAACAAATCAAGACACGCTGAAGTGACATGTGAATGATAGTTTTTAATTTTAGACGTTTTAAACCATTTTCCTTTAAAATTCATGAAAGCTCATTGTCCAATATCTTAGGTTCAAACTACAGTTCAAACCATTAAAATATATATGTACCTTTATAATGGAACTATGCATAAGGGGAAGGCGAGTCTACACAAGCGGAATATTCTACCTTATATGAAAGTGTGTTTTCAAGCTCTGGATACCTTTATTACTGTGAAACACGATGATTTCTGTCACGAAAACAATTTTATGGTACTTTTGCTACCTCAAGATACATTGGAATTTGGCTTGGAGTAGAAATTTACCCCAAATGCAAAATGTGTTATTATGTATGTGATCTCAAATTTTTCATGTAGTATTTCAGCTACTGAGACTAAGAAGAAGGGGACTGAATGTTTGTTTACAGTTTAGCAGAAATGGATTCTCCTCAGCTTTGGACTGGCACAAGCATACAGGCCATTACCTGTAATGGAAAGTCTGGTTGCCCCCAGGTGGCCTACTCTTCTTCTGCATACAGTCCTTGGAAAGGACTGAGCAAGCAGTATCTACACCTGAAAGTTACACGCAAAGCATTCTAAAGCAGACAACGCTTGTGTACCCTCCTGGCAGAAGGATGGTGGGGACAAAAGAAAGAAAGAATGAGACCTCATGATGTGTGTAGGGTACATCTGATTTAATGGAATGACCCTAAAGAATGTCACCAGTAATATTTTCAGTACTCCAAACTGATACAGAAATTCAGCATGTAGACCTCAGCTATCATTTGACATAATTACTGGACATGGAGTAGGGGCTAAAAGAGGAAGTGCTTTTTACAAAATGTGAAGCTACCTTCTACTAAAGCATTTTCTGCTAGAATCATTACATAGATCAATACGAAAATATTATGGACAACGCTGAACTGATAATACACTTGCACCATACAATGTATGTATAAAGTCACAGCATACTGAATGAATGGGGGGGAAGAATTTATTCCCTCTTTATTGTCAGACCTTTAATGCAGGAAACATTCATTTATCAATACTTGCGATCACACACAAGCAAATTCATCCTACTGAAACCTTCGTATTTAAAAATGTCACTGGAGAAAATACATTGTAGATTTCTGTGTATAATTAGCTAGCGTTATAGTCTCGTAATACACGCACACACATATCCCTACGTAGATAAATGCCATTTGCTTAGAAAAAGGAAGTCTGAGAGAACTAAGGAAAACATGTTATACGGTCTTGTGATAAAAACATGAAGACTTTAAAAAATGAACAGGGCTGCTGCATTTATTATGATGTATCAGGATGCAGCAGCAAGGCTGGAGGCTGACTGTGGTCCAATGGCAGAGCACTAACATATTTTGATAAACCATGCGGGTTCCTTACCAGTGGAGAAAAAAATCTCACAAAAATGGTGATGGACAAATACATACCAATTTCACTTCTTATTTTACATTTGTATGACAACAAATTCTGGACATGGTGGGGGGAAAAAGGAGGGGGATTTCCTTACCTTAGCTGAACCTAAATGGTGTATTCTGTCACTGGAATAACTCTGGGGTATTGGAGGAACAGGATAATCCTCAGCCCCTTTGGCTGTGTTCTTTTTGACGGTTTCTACATAGGACACAGGAAAGATGCCTTGCCTGTTGGTTCCTGGAAGTTTGCCTTCGTACCAGTTCTGATCAACCCGTCTGAGGAGAATTACTTTGTCTCCCTGCAAGGCATTACCAAAATTGCTTCACTGTTAAATTGCTTCACTGTTGACAAATGCTAATTCTGTACATGACGTCACATTTCAGCACACATTTTACCCTTTGTGAAGGCAAGAGATGACGTGGTGGCTAACAGTGAACAGCTCTGAGCCACGAAGCCTCAAGTTCAAACTGCCTCTCAGCCACAAGCTCACCAAGTGGATTTAGGCAAGCCACTAAACTCTCCACTTCCTCAGCAATAATAGTGGCCCACACTGGGTTGTTTTAAACCAGGGGCCCCCAGCCTTTTTGAGGCTGTGGGCACCTTTGAAATTTTGAGAGGGGGGTGGGTAAGTGCCCCCCCCAGCATGGCTGCCACAGGAGGTGGAGCCAAACACAATACCTCCTCACTCTGTAAATGAATCGCAGAAGGAGAACACACAGAAACGAAGGGAAGGTCGGGGAAAGAAGGGGAAAAGAGAAGGGGGAATAAAATAAATTTAAATTAAAATTTAGCCATTTCTCATCTTTCACCAGTTTTTGTTATTAATTTCTTATCCATGCATCCATCCGGTAATAAATGGTGGCTGAAACCTAAAAAGAAACATTCGGCTTTGTTGAGTAACCAAAGGTAGACAGATTTTGGAAAGCAATGATGGCGAGTATAATGGGCTGAACATAAACTATTTTTTTTTGGTAATGTGCCATTCCAGGCCAGGAAACTGGCAGGGGTAGGAAGGCATAAGCACCTTCTCCCTCTACATGCCCCAGTCCTGATCCAAAGCAGGCCCCTGTGCACCTGTGAACTGAGTTCCCAGTGGAGCCTCACGGCTTATGTCTATCTTGAAGTCCTTATGATGATCCAGACATGACCTGGGAACTTTGTAATGTGTAGCTAGGCCTTCAGTGTTTCTGGATGAAATATGCTGCTATATGAACAGTAAGAAGTAAATGAGCGTGACCTGTACCATGTATAATATACTTTACGATTTCTTTAACTCTTTCCACTTGCAGAATAGGTGGGGTGGTGCAGCACTTTTAGGGTCACTGCTTAAGGTAATTTTGGTTTTCAACGAAAAATATGCTCACACGAGAAAGAGCCTATTAGCAATCACCTTTCTCAGAGACAGTTCCACATTTGTATCCGCATTGAAATTGTATTTGGCAACAGCTTCTCCAATCTCTCCAATGTGTGCTGGGGGCGGTGGCCTTGCCGGCTGTGCTTTTTCAGGGGGAGTGAGTTTCTGAAAGGAGAACAGTCTTATTCAGTTTATGTAACATGTGCAAACTAATAAGGAAGGGGAGAAAACTCAAAGCACATACCTCAACGTAAGAAATAGGAAAAATCCCAACTCTTCCATAGTGCTCACCCTCGTACCAGTTTTGATCCACTTTCCTGAGGATATAGACAGTATCTCCTTTCTTGAAGGATAGTTCCCTGAAACAAGCAGCCACAGTCAGCTGGAGGCTGAAAGTTTTTGTGACATCTGAGTACAATCAGTATGTTATCTATCTTTACTTAATATTGCAAATGGCTGCAGTTCTTCTTTGCAATATGGGCGCAGCGCAGGTGCAATATACAACTAATGGATGAACAAAGGAATACTCTGGAGCATGTGGATTAACGGTGTATCTTAATTTAACACATTTTGAACAAATTGTCAACAAGAAGTTTTTTGCTTTGGTGTGCTATTTGAAAAAAAATTAGAACAACAGACAAGACTTCTGATACTATTGAAATACTCTTGTAATCTGACAACGGCAATTTATTTTTTACTTCCGGCTTCTCTCCTCAAAGACACACCACTATGTTTCTTCTTCCTCCTGCTTAAAGGTAAAGGTAAAGGTTCCCTTGCTCGAAAGCCAGTCGAATCCGACTCTAGGGTTGCGGTGCTCATCTCCGTTTCAAAGCCGAAGAGCCAGCGCTGTCCGAAGACATTTCCGTGGTCATGTGGCCGGCATGACTAAACACCAAGGCGCACGGAACGCTGTTACCTTCCCACCGAAGTGGTACCTATTTATCTACTTGCAATTTCTTGCTTTCGAACTGCTAGGTTGGCAGGAGCTGGAACTAGAGATGGTAGCTCACTCCGTCATGTGGCGCACCCGGGTCTTGAACTGCTGAACTACCGACCTTCCACAGCCTGCAGTTCATAGTCTTAACCACTTGAGTCACCGCAGCTCCTCCTCCTGCTTATGTACACCTAAATTATTTCTTATGTTATTATATGTTCTGATTGTCCATAAAAAGGGTATTTACATGTAACTATCTGCATCAGACTTTGGACAGGGCTTTACATTTAAGTGCCCATTCAGTAGGAAGCAACACAATAGATCAGGGCTCCCCAACCTTTTTGCACCTTTGGAATTCTTAAACAGGGTGGTAGGTAAACCAAAAAATGGCTGCCATGGGAGGTGGAACCAAGCACAAAATGTCAGGGAGTGAGGTTATGCATAACTCCTATAGCAACTCTTCAGCATTTCAGGTAAAGGATGCCTTTTTAAATTAGTCATGCCGGCCACATGACCACGGAAATGTCTTCGGACAGCGCTGGCTCTTCGGCTTTGAAACGGAGATGAGCGCCGCAACCCTAGAGTCGGATTTGACTGGCTTTCGAGCAAGGAAACCTTTACCTTTACTTTACTTTACTGTTTGAAAATGTTTTCTTACACACACACAGTTTACCTTCAGTCACTCAGTGAAGCTCCTTGTGCTGTGGTGGCAATGTCTTAAAAGATCGCCAATGACCAATCAGAAGCCCTGCTGGGCAAAGTCCACCTGGCCCCACCCACTTTCTAAAAACACTAGGCAGATGTCAGGAAAGGTATCAGCCTGACCACGCCATCCACGGACACCATGCTGGGGATCCCTGGTGTAGACAGATGGCATTCATATTTCAATCCACATTCCAAAGAGAGCCAGTTGGTGCATGGACCGTAATCTGGGAGAACTGGGTTTGATTCCCCACTCCTCCACTTGCAGCTGCTGGATGACCTTGGGCAAGCCATAGTTCTGTCAGAGCTGTTCTCTGAAGAGCAGTTCTCTCAGAGCTCTCTCAGCCCCACCTACCTCACAGGGTGTCTGTTGTGGGGAGGGGAAAGGAGTTTGTAAGCCACTCTGAGACTCCGAGTGAAGGGTGGGGTATAAATCCAATCTCCTCTCCTCCTCCAAAGTCCATCTGATCTATGCTCACAGTTACTGATCTGTTAAGTGATATATGCTCAACAACCTCCTGAACCACATAGATCTCCTTTGCTGAACTGATTGCAGTTGACTTCTTAAATGCTACAGGTCTATAACAAGAACATAAACACAACAGACTGGATCCAAAAAGTGGGAATAGATCCCAAAATCCCTTATACTTATGAGAGGAATCTTCTGATCAAGGACAGAGCCCTTCTGTGAACAAACTGACACCTTTGAAACCAAACTCGTATTTTGGACCCAGTCTAAGGTTGGCTAGAACATACTTTGAAGGAAAAAGAAAGCCTTTTCCTGTATTTGTATTCCACATTAAGGCCCCGGTCACGCGGCAAAGTTGCCACGGGAGAGGCATGGATGGTGGGCGGATTATCCGGGCACGATCACACCCCAACATCTGGGAAGTGGAGCGCACCCTTGGCTTACCGCCGACAATGCGAGTTAAAAAACTAGTCCCTGCAAGGTACTAGTAAACGTTTGCCACGGGCCGCCTCCCGACGCCTGTGGTGTGATTGCGCCGGCGTGCGGCATTCCCCTCCGGTCCCTCGTTTACCCGCTGGCGCCGAGGGAAGGACCGGTGGTGTGCCGCCGGCGTGTCTGATCGCGTAATCGCAGATCAAACTGCGCCAGGGCAATTAGCCACACCTCCCCCCGCGATATCCGGCCCGTGTGACCGGGGCCTAACAGCTTTAAACACTTGTACACAAGTAGCTAAGGAAGTCTGAATGGTGTTATATGTGAAAATACTCTGTGAAATTGTTCTTGGAATAACAAAAAACTTCAGTGTGAAAACCAACAGAATTTTTAAAAATTTCTTGTAATTTACCATGCCTCATGCGTTGCAAGATATCAGGTAAGAATGAGCCGATGCACTACTTGGTAATAAAATACTGTGGACATAAATTTCCAGTGACATGACTGAACACTTGTATATCACAGAACAATAAAATGGTATACAATCAACAATGGGCCAAATGCATCAAAAACAGAGACATACACATTTGTATTAGTTAAAGGCAATGTATGTGGAGTTTTATTCCTATAAAATTTCTCTAGAATAAATAATTATCTCCCCCCCTGCAACGAATGGCCACAAATACTTACTTAGAGGTCTGAGCCTTAAAATCGTATACTGCTCTAGCAGGCAATCTCTGAAAAGAAGAAAAAGAAATTAGTTCACACAAAACTTTCAAATTTGTTTTTAAAGTCTGGAACAAATAAGAGAGTCATGCCTTTGAAGGCCATGGGAGTGCAATTTGATTAATAATATCCCTTAGAGAAATAAGTTAGTCTAACGACTATGGCATAAACTTTCATGGAATATATCCCCCCTCAGTCTCAGCTGGTAAATACACACAAATGAATACAGAGGAAGTAATTTGCAAACAGAATAGACTGCTAATATTTCACTGTCTTTCATCCCTAATGTTTACTAATCTTCTCTGTGTTCCCATCTATATCTATCTATATGGCTAACTGAGGGGAACTCTTAACGCATTGTATAAATTTGTATGTAGTTTAGGAAAGCACATCATTTTTTGGACATCATTTCAAAAAACCATACTCTCCAAGTGGAATGGTGACAGGTATTATGAACAGGAAGTGGGGATTCAAATTCCCCAAACTCGACTCTCTTGGCTTGCACTATTGAAGGGAATGGGGGTTGTGCTGGAGCAGTCTCTGGATGAAAACTACATCCAGAGATAGTGACAAAAGCCACTTGGAGAGCTCAGTCTCTTTTCCATATTCCTCTCCCCTGCCTGCTGTCTAAATTCCAATTCCACTGCTTTCACTAGGAAAATACCGATTTGTAACACCTGGGTTGACAAATTACCATCCTATATAATTCCTTGTAAATGTCTTGATAAGATTGTTTCAAAGACTCTCTTGTGGCTTTAAATGCTTGTGCATTATACATTTTCCATTTAACTACCTCTCTCTCTGGAGTTCCTCTTCTTTCCTTTGGAGTACATCGACCCACATCAGTGAAAGTAGAAGAATAGTTCCCAGGAGACCCCTGGTCTACTGAAAATAAAATGCCATTTTGTGAAATTCTGCTTAATTAGAAGTAAAAGTGCTGGGCTTTATTTGAAGGGATGCTACCTCTAAAGTATACATAAAACATAAGCATGTGGCAAAACAACAACAGAAAAAGACCAAACAGAAGCCTAAAGATGGAACTGTGGAAGTTACTACAGCTAATACGGTTTGGTTTCAAAATGAATTTGTACAATTAAAGAGCATAACAGGACAGCACATCTTCCCTAAATCTAATTTTTACAGTAGTGGCTTGAGCAGCTACAACAACAGATATGTGATACAGTGAAGATGCAAAGGGTACAAAAACATTGCCATGAATCACAAAATGTGAAATGTGTAACTTCATGCAGGGGGGGATGTGTCAAAAGCATGCCACAAAAACACAATGATGAACCAGGCATTTCTCAGGCGTATCCATTAATATGCATAATCTTTTTAACGGAAGGGATTCTGGACCTGCACACAAAACTTCAAGCCTTGGTATTGTCAAAAGGGAGTTCTTTATTCTGAGACACTCATGTGAATGGGATAATGGTTGCAAATGCCCTATGAATGAAATCCTGAGCATGCTTATTGGATACAACTGAACTCAGTGCATCTTACTTCTGAGTAAACATATTGGGATCCTGCTGCTTATTCATTATAGGACAATATGCAAATATCTGTTTTAAGAACAAAATGTAATGCTTAAAAATTTCTGAAAAATAAAGCAAAGTGTATGTTTCCAGACTGAAGAAATCCTATGTATTAAATAAAATAACCCTCTTTTTCCACGACTTTCAGACAACTACACCTACTTATGTTACCTCTAGCAAATATAACATGATTTGGGACAGGCATAAGCTAATGGCTGATTTGTGGTGATACCACTGGATCCTTATTTCATTGCAGAAGCCAAATCTGAAGATACAGTCTGTACGGCCTAGAACTCTGGAAACCCCAGGAATGCTTCATACAAGATGACTTTATTATACAAACCTCATCCGTGTGAGGGAAACTGAATGCGTGCCATATACAATTGGTCACATGCACTATCTTGCCTTATAGACTTGGGGCAGAGAGGACGCGGTGTAGAGCTGAATGTCTCAGAGCAGCATTGTGAGCTATTATTACAGGCCATTTTCCATTCAGATCAAGTTCTAATTTGAAAATAAAATATACTGAAAAAAATGTAAAAGAACAAGGCAGCCATACCTGCAGTCTACGCATATTACATAACATGGGTTTGCTATACAAGACTCACCTTGGCTTTGTCCTTTGGGATTTGTTCACTGGAGGCATTTCAAACTCCGTAAAAGAGAACTAGTTTTGCCTCCGTTAGAAATGTACAGCAGTGAACATTATGCTTTGGTGGGCCAAATGGCCTAACCACAAAAATAGTTCAGGGAGGAAAACCAAACATATTTTTCTTCCCTAACTGAATGCTATTTTCTAAAAATAGACAGAATTGTTTAGAAGAGACAGAGAGAAAATTCCTCCAGTTGTTCAATGCTATTATTTCACAATACAGAGTTATAATTGATTGCAAGTATTATTGTGAAAGCCCTTCCCTGATAACAGACCTCGTATTCTTCATTATCTCTAAATATACACATTAAGGCATTGGTAGTAGTTTTCCACCCAAAAGTGTGTGACCTTAATTTCAATTATGAGTTACACCCTCATCTTTGGGTGTCATGCTATTAACATTTAACAAAGGTTAAATATGTCCCTTTGCTGGTGGCCTGAGGATTACGCTTTATCAATAAAATGCTTCACCTTTACATAAACTTTGTGTTTCTCGTCACTGACCCTCCTGCCCTTCTGTGACATCTTATGCAAGGAACACTTAATGTGTAGCCTGTAAAAATACACCATATAAATGCAATGCCAATGAACTGAAAGCGATATGGGATAAGGATGGATGATTCAGATCACAAGTATAAAGAGAAAAAGGAGGAAATCCACCTGGGAAACTATCGTTTTCTTGGCTGCCGTTGTTCACCGGATCCATGTCTTGGTAAGAGGCACTAAGAGGCAACCTTCCACATTCATACAATGGGCAACGAATAGCACCATCTTGAGGCAGTGGGTGAAAAGGCTCATGAATGGGGCTCTTTCTAAGAGCTTTAAGGGAGGAATTCCTTTCAGGAATGTCTGGAAGCAGCTCAGAAATAAGTCTGTGCAATATACTGTTATCAGGCAAGCTTCCCCTCCTTTTTTCTGCTTTGATTTGGTCACAGATATCCTTCAGAGCAGAGTCCAGGGCTTCAAAGACGGAAGATTTGCATTTAGTCTTTTCAGCCTTCTTTTGGGGGATTGCGGGTTTTTTCCTCCGGAAAGGCACTGGGCTGACTAGAAATGCTATCTTAGAGAGGCCAGGGTCAGCATCTTGCCTTCTAGGGTCTTCGGGAGTCGGTTCTTGTTTAGCCCTTTCGTGCTTCAGCATTGTAGTGAAGCGTGTATAGGATGCTGGGCACCGCCCCTTGCAGGAGCTGATAAGATGTTTGTGATGGTGGTGATGATGGTGGTGGTGGTGGTGATGGTGGTGGCCTGAACCATAAAAACTTTCAGAAGACGTAAAGGAAAAGTGATCAAAATCACTTTCGCTGCAAAAAGACGAGCCTTCTATCTGTATGAAGTCACTGAGGTCAGAGACCACTCCATCTTGGTCACTGTCCGAATACTCCAATTGAGATCTTTGTGGTTCCTCACTGGTCACTTCGATATGAATTGGCACCAGAGTTTTAGATTTGCAGTTCCTTTGTACCTGAGCTGCATGCCTACTTTGATTTTCCTCCTCCAGCAAGGACTCAATAGAAAACCGCCTCTTTGAGAATAAACCATTTTTAGGAGGTTCAAGGAGGGTCATTGTGGATAATGCTTCGTCACCTAAATTTGGCATTGATTTGGACTTCTGAATTAGTTTTTCAAATTCAGATATTCTATTGGGCACCATATCTCTGGGCACTTCCTCAGCAGAGGATTCCTTCCAGCCATGCAAAAGGGCTCTGTGTTGCTCTTTTTCATACTGCAATACCCTGGACTTCACAGAACAAATCACTTCAGAATTGAGCAAGTCTTTACGATTGATGCGGTGCATTCTTTTATACATTTTGAGGAACCCGGGGGCATCATGGGCTGATCGATGACGGGCTCTTGACCTACCGGGACCTCGGCTCTCAGAATATGGGGAGGCCCAGGTAAGTGAAGACCCACTTTTAGAATCTTCCTCACATAACAGAGACACCATGCTTTCAGACTTATTCTGAGGGTCAGGAAAGTTACAGTGTTCATCTGCTAGCAGGTCATCACAGCTTCGAGATTTCCGCTTGGGGGAGGAAGTTTCTTCTGTGCTGCTCCAGACTTCTGCATTTTGGCGGGCCATTTGCCAGCCATTTTTGTAGCTGATTGCCCTTCTTGAGTCACTTGGGACAGCCAAACGCTGTCCATAGGTCCTACTACAGTAATCTGATTCATTTGAGGTGCTGTGGTTGGGCACTGAATAACTGGGAAGGGGTGAGTATGGTGTGCTAATATCCCCACCTTTATAATCCACAGAGCAGCATGGTGAAAAAGAAACATTGCCAGAAATTAACAGGTTCAAAAAGATAGGGAAAAAAATAATCAGCACATGACAGAAAGAACAAAGAGAAGGAAGTAGTTATTGCTCGTAAGCAAGCATTCAGTACTAATACAAGATATACATTACCAACGTGCAGAAGATGAAACAAAGATAGTGGTATCTGAGCACTAGGGGTGTGCATTCCTTTAAATGCTGTTCTGGGTGAAGATGCAGCTTCACAAATGCATTTAAAGGGACTGTGACATTTTAAAATGCCTTTGGCTGCGTTATAGCCTATGGGGAACATTCTAGTCAATTATCCCCATAGGCTATAATGGGGAATCTATCTAGGAGTATGCTGGGGGTCTGAAGGGGTTGTTTTTTGAGGTAGAGACACCAAAGTTTCAACATAGCTTCTGGTGCCTCTACTCAAAAGACCCCCCCCAAGTTTCAAAGAGATTGGACCAGGGGTTTCTACTGCAGAAACTCTCTGGTTTGACATCAGTCATTGTTTTTTTGAACCATTGTAAATAACGGAGGATGGGGGCACTTCCTTTGGGCGCCTCATAGAACTGGACCCCCTGGTCCAATCTTTTTGAAACTTGGGGGGTCTTCTGAGGAGAGGCACCCCAGAGTCCTGGATACCCACAGATAGATCCCCCATTGACTATAGTGGTCCCACAGGGTATAATGGAGCCAAAAAATTTCAGGATTTCCAGGGAGGAAAATCCAAATACCATACTGGTACTGGAATTAGAGTTTTTTTGGGAATCCCAGAATTTTTTTGGTTTAATATATCCAAATCTGAAAACTCCCGACTTTTTTTGTGCACACCCCTACTGAGCACTTATTAGACTTTTCAGTTGTTCTCCATAATTTGAACATCTTGAAGGTACGCCAAAAGTATCATCACTTCAACATGCTTTAAATGCTGATGTGAGACAACAGGGTATCTCTTTCCAGCAAATCTGCCATGCATAGATTAAGACTGTCTCATTTCTCCCCTAGTGATAATCTAGGGATGGCCAAAGCTGATAAGTCTAATCACATTTTCCATTCAGAAATCAATAGTGAGACAATGCCAATAATTAAGGCAATGTAGAGATGGCCTCCAGACTACATATTGAGGTGCAAACACTTACTATTTTAAAACCTTTAAAAGTGGTTGCACCCTCACCTTAGTCAGCTGATACAGGCTGCAATTAAGTATAACAAAGGGAACAAGGAAAGAATAAGCAAGAAGCCCTTAAAGCTTGCATGGATTGACTGCTTCCAATAATATCTCCTACCAGGAATGCAGGGGACTGATCTGCATCAAGACTGAAGCATGATGGGACCTGGGTCTTAAGCCTTCCTCCCTGCACCATTTTCTCAATCTAACATGGCCTGCGGGGGTGGTGGTGTGCACACTATTTCCCCTATTGCGAAAAATTACATATACATATATCATTTTAATGGTTTTATAATGTAATTTCCCCCCATATATTTTATCATGTATGTTTTAAATTGTGGCCCTTGTAAGGACAGAAAAGTGGGATACAAATTTCTTAAATAAATAAATAAATAAATAAATAAGTAATACACCAGAACACGTACATTTGGCATGCCAAGTGCTGGTTTTGTTTGGGCTGTCTCCTGGCAAAGAGCCTTTTTCATCTGCCTTTGCTTCTTGGGCAAGTGGGAAAAACAGTGTGGTGGGGGTGGAAATTAGTTTGGTCTACATACTGACGTCAGCTGATGCTCTATCTCTGAAGCTCCCAAGGGATACTGCACCACTGCCTAGCATCCCTAATATACATTTTCACAGAAGGGTAAGAAGCCCCCAGCCATCTTCAGTCAGGACAATGGCATGGGGGGAAGCTTCAAATCCCCTTCCCTTGTGTTTCTGATCTGAACTGAACCCTCTACTTATGTAGTCCTTTGTAAGAATTCTGGGAGCCCCTGACATGCAACTTACAATGTAGTTAGGTCCTAAGGCTGCAAGGTCAATCAGCTTTACCAAAGCTGAAGTTACTTGATATACATGATTAGGGTGCACTTGAAAGCATCCTTATTCTGAGAAGGTTTGAATTCAGGTTCAGACCCTTTTCTAAAGGCACATAACTGTAGAGAACCATACAGGAATTTGCAAATACCAAGGGGTAGTTGCATTGTTTGGGGCAAGATATTCTGACTGAAAATTTAAACAAATAGGTTTAACTAACAACAGTGAAACAAAATCAGATTGTTGTCGAAGGCTTTCACGGCTGGAGTTCATTAGTTGCTGTAGATTTTCCGGGTTGTGTGGCTGTGGTCTTGGCATAAGACCACGGCCACACAACCCGGAAAATCTACAGCAACTAAAAAATCAGATTGTAATCATTTCTTCAATTGAATATGCCTATTGCATAAATAAGCACCACACAATATCACTATTTCTCCATATATGATTTAATTAGATACTTCATGCCATCCTGAGCCCTGTCATATGATGCTATAGTGACATGACAACCAATCCCTCCTGACTAGGCCAGGATCAAGTGGGAATGATACTGACCATGTTCCCATGTTACTGACCTTCCCCTCACGGTATGACTCTTGTGCTAACATATTATCATACCAGAATGTTAACATTACCAAAACATTCTGCTGTGTGGAAGTTTCTGTTCTTCTGCCAGCTCCTGTTTTCATATATTTTTTTAAATTAGAGGTTTACAGATGTAATTCAGGGGTCTTGGTGAGAGAGAAAGTACTGGAAAACTGGAAACTTACCAAGATGATCTATTGAGCCCACAGGCCCAGTGAATATGCACCTCTTGAAGGAAGCCTATTGTTCTGATAGGGAGCTGATTAGAAGAACTGGGAGTTCCAACACAGGAGTGTCCTGCGTTAGTAGCACAACTTTATAAGTATTCCAAGAAACCAGTAATTTCAATTTAAGAGATGTAGAATGTTCTTTTTTGGTTATTTAAAAGCCAAGACAACAAAGTTTGGGTCCAGTGGCACCTTTAAGACCAAGAAAGTTTTATTCAAGGTATAAGCTTTCTATATATAGGAAAAGAGAGGGTGGGGTGGGGGTTAGCTGTCAGGAAGGGCCAATTGGAATCAAGACAGAGACAGAAACAAAAGCGGAAATCACCAGCCCATACATATAGTTAGAGGGTGAATAGTAAATTATCATATAGCATAATGAAGATGTTAAACAGATTCAAGGATCAAACAGGGATAATAAACTTAGTTTATATGGTTACCATTATTTGGTTTCAATTCTGGGGCAAAAAACAGTGAAGGAAATAAATATGCCAAAATTGGAGATTGATGTATCCTTAATTGTGGAGTGCTGAGAGTAATTACACAAAAGAGTAATGCACACAAAAACCTATACCTTGAATAAAACTTCGTTGGTCTTAAAGGTGCCACTGGACTCAAAAGAAAGGACAACTTGAGAAGAATTTGAATCACTAGATGATGGAAGTTCTCCCATGTGTCATGATGGAGAAATATACATTTGAGACCCATGTCTTAAATTCAAACACTACTTATGACAGACCCTTATAAAATATCATTCTTGCTCTTTTCTGTCAATAAGGCAACAGATTAAATGTAACTAAAATGTCATAAATCACAGTCTCCTTTTGACTAAGTTAGTTTCAACAGCCACAACAAAAGAAAGGCTAAAGGAGTTGATATGTAGAAAACCTTTTAAAATATTCAGATCAGAGGACAATATATAAACTCGGGATTTAGCTTTGTCGCCTGTAAATGGTGGCTTTGGGATTTGGGTTCAATTCTGGGGCAAAAAACAGTGAAGGAAATAAATATGCCAAAATTGGAGATTGATGTATCCTTAATTGTGGAGTGCTGAGAGTAATTACACAAAAGAGTAATGCACACAAAAACCTATACCTTGAATAAATCTTCATTGGTCTTAAAGGTGCCACTGGACTCAAAAGAAAGGACAACTTGAGAAGAATTTGAATCACTAGATGATGGAAGTTCTCCCATGTGTCATGATGGAGAAATATACATTTGAGACCCATGTCTTAAATTCAAACACTACTTATGACAGACCCTTATAAAATATCATTCTTGCTCTTTTCTGTCAATAAGGCAACAGATTAAATGTAACTAAAATGTCATAAATCACAGTCTACTTTTGACTAAGTTGGTTTCAACAGCCACAACAACAGAAAGGCTAAAGGAGTTGATATGTAGAAAACCTTTTAAAATATTCAGATCAGAGGACAATATATAAACTCGGGATTTAGCTTTGTCGCCTGTAAATGGTGGCTTTGGGGAGAACGGTAAATTCTGACTGGTTATTAGCATTTGTCACTCATCGATTGACATCAACATCTTGCACTTTAAAAGCAGGAATTAATACTGCTCCTTCTTTGCAAATGTGTTTATTTCTTACCTTTTGCTCTGGACGGAGAAGATGGAGATGAGCTAGTGACAGGCTTCCTAAGGGTAGCGTAGGTGCTCTGTGTATCTGTACGGCCCAGACTGGCCCGGTTTGCATTTGGGTCATTGTGCGCCCTCTGCTGAGTTACTGCAGGTTCTGACTTCCTTCTTTTCCTGTAGTCACTTGCGGTACTTGCAGAACTAAGGAAATAAGCAGTGTACGTTCTGCTGTGCAGTTGGAGCTATAGGGACATTGATACACACACAAAAGATCTTGTGCAACACCCATCACTTTCCTCCTTATGTATTAGAGTGCCTAGAAATTGTTTGCACGTCATCTTGTACAAGCTGAAATGCAAGTGGGGATACATTGAGTATTACTGAACGAAAGCAGCTATCACAGTATTTTTCTTGCATTCC